TCGACACCCAGCGTGAATTCACGACTGTGAGATCAAGACCTGAGCTGAGGGGTGCCTGGGTGGCTCAGTCGGTTAAGCATCCGACTTCGGCTCAGGTCATGATCTCACGTTTCATGGGTTCGAGCCCTGCATCGGGCTCTGTGTTGACAGCTCAGAGCCTGGAGCCTGCTTCGGATTCTGTGTCTCCCCTCGTTCTCCCTGTTTAATATCTCTCTCTCTCTCTCTTTCTCTCAAAAATAAATAAACATTAAAGAAAGAAAGAAAGAAAGAAAGAAAGAAAGAAAGAAAGAAAGAAAGACCTGAGCTGAGATCAAGGGTCGGATGCTTAACCAACTGAGTCACCCAGGCGCCCCTCACCTCATTTTTAATTTTTTTTTTTTTCAATGTTTATTTATTTTTGGGACAGAGAGAGACAGAGCATGAACGGGGGAGGGGCAGAGAGAGAGGGAGACACAGAATCGGAAACAGGCTCCAGGCTCCGAGCCACCAGCCCAGAGTGACGTTGCCTGGAACTCATGGACCGTAGATCGCACCTGGCTGAAGTAGGACGCTTAACCGACTGCGCCACCCAGGCGCCCCTCACCTCATTTTTAAATCACACTCAACAAGAAATATATAACTGCAATTTGGTGAAACACATCTTACAACTATAGTAGGTAGAAATAAACAATAAGTAAATTATAAGATGCATATAAAAGAATAAACAATAATTCAGAATTTTAGTGTTGGAAATTAGAGTAGGTATCTTCTAATTCAACTGTATCATCATGCTGAAGAGAGAACAAAAAAAAGTGATGCTTATTGCCATATTAAGAGATACTCGGAGCACCTGGGTGGCTCAGTCAGTTGAGTGTCTGACTTTGGCTCAGGTCATGATCTCATACTGTTTGTGGGTTCGAGGCCTGCATCGGGGCTCTGTGCTGACAGCTCAGAGCCTGGAGCCTGCTTTGACTTCTGTGTCTCCTCTCTCTCTGCCTCTCCGCTGTTCATGCCCTGTGTCCCTCTCTCTCTCTCAAAAATTAATTAATTAAAAAAATTATTAAACAAGAAATACCATTCCAATGACAATATTGAACATGTTTTGATTACTAACTATATGCTGGGCACTGTTCTAAGTGCTTTGTATGTACCAGCTCTTTTAATCCTTACAGCAACCCTATGAAATATTGTTTAATACCCATTTCATAGATGAAGAAACTTAAGAGAGTTTTAATAACTTTCCCATAGTCATATTCCAAGTAAAAGAAGCAGCATTTGAACCCAGCAACCTGTCTCCCAAAGCTGTGCTTCTGTCCCTGTACAACCTCCAGTAAATGACAATTAACAATAATGTGCCAACATACGTTATTAAACCATGCAATTGCACAAAGTTTTGGGGGATGCTTATTGCATGCTTACAACTTAACTGAAAATTCACATAATTTTCAGCACTATGTGGGTTTTTATTCATATTTTAGAATGGTGTTGTTCACCTTGTTCCAGGGCCCACGCATCACCTACAGTATGGTCTGACTGTGTATCACTGACATCAATAAAAGCTTTAGTAGGCATGTTCAGGCAGATCCCATTACAAGGCATTGCTGAAATCCTAGTGCCAAGCACACCACTTTCCAGCCCCACCATTTGCCGAACACATCATCTCCCAGACATAACTTCCTATGCACGCTACCGACTATTCACAAAGGAGTGGTTGCTACAGACTGCATTCTGGTATAGAAGGACCAGAGCTACAGTAATGATCAAGACTTGTCCCTAATGACTGGTAGAGGTAAAGATAGCAGGGAATGGGCGAACATGCCGGAAGTCTTTGCAGAAGAGATGAAATGTGAAGAGTAAGAGGGAAGTCTTGTCTTTTCTGAGGGTGAAGCTCTACATGGCATAGGTGTAATGAGAAAAAATTCAGGTTGTGATATCTTGCCGTGTTAATGCCCTTCCAATCCACGTATGCCTAGGCCAGAATTCTTCCAAAAATGTAAATCTTACCTGCTCTCCCCTGCTTAACTTTACTACATGGCTTTTTTTTTATGCTTTATTTATTTTCAAGAAAGTGCAAGCAGGGGAGGGGCAGAGAGAAGGGGACAGAGGATCTGAGGCAGGCTCTGAGCTGACAGCAGCGAGCCTGATGTGGGGCTTGAACTCACGAACTGCGAGATGATGACCTAAGCCAAAGTTGGATGCTCAACTGAGTCACCCAGGTGCTCCACTACATGGCTTTTTATACAGGAAAATAGTAACACTCCTTAGTGTATCTTCCCAAGCCTTACATGATCTGATGCTCAATGTATAGACACACTCCCTTTCTAGAAACACTAAATTCTTTGTATTTCTCTAACCTGCCAGTCTGTCTTATTTCTATTCTCTTATATAATATGATCACTTTGCCATTGGGAATATAGGAGAATAAAACCACTTTGTAACAGTTTCACAGTACAATTAAAGATGTACATATTTTACAACCCAGACATTTCATTTAGGATAGATGCTGCCCGAAAAGATATTTCTTGTATATTTGCATTGGGAGACATGTTTGTAGGAACAAAAGACAGAAAACATTCCAAACTCCCACCAGCAGGAAAATGAATAAATACATTCTGTTATGTGTCAGCTGTCCAATTTATTGCTTCTCTGCTGCAAACTTACTCTTCATTGCCCGCTCTTTGTAAAGGTGTCTGGATCCTTAAAATTTTTTTTTTTCTTTTCTGAGAGACATGATGTTAAACTTTGTCAGTAGAAGGCATTGTAGAGACCTTGCAGGAAAGGGCTTTCCTTCCCGGTTCCCATGTGCTCACCTGGCAGGTCTCTGCCTGCAAAGGACTTCAGCGCGTGGCTCATAGAGCATACAAGGCTTCGCCAGTGCTGCCGTCCTGTGGTGCCCCGTCCTGTGGTCCAGGCTGCTCCTCTGGCACTTGCTTCTTGCCATTCATGGCGACCAGAACAGTAGCCAGGAGCTTCTTTTAAAACCACCCATGGTTGGTTTGCTAGTGCAGTGCCTCTGGCAAGACAATTCCCCACAATCACAATTCCCACAGTAGCCTAGAGTGCAAATTTCTGAGGAGTTTCACAAGGTCTGTGAGCACAGCACCACAGTGACTTCTCTGCTATTCGGTAAGGCCCGTGGGGTGGGGGAAGTTCATTAGCTGCTCCATCTAAGCCCTAGAGACAGTGACTGCTCCTTGTGTCTGCTACGCTTATATTCTTTAGAGCTCCCTTTACCTTTTACTGGCAGTATATCCTTACTGCAATGTTATTGTAATCATCCTTTAAAAAAAAAAAAACTTAAATCCAAGTTAGTTAACATATAGTGTAATAATGATTTCATCTATGTTCATCTATCTTGTTTCTCAAGTTCCACATATGAGCAAAATCATATAGTTATCTTTCTCTGACTGAATTATTTCGTTTAACATAATGCACTCTAGTTCCATGTTGTTGCAAATGGCAAGAGTTCATTCTTTTTGATGGCTAATATTCCATTGCATGGACATTCGGGCTCTTTCCATAATTTAGCTATTGTTGATAATGTTGCTGTAAACATTGGGGTACATGTGCCTGTTTGATTCAGCATTTTTGTGTCCTTTGGATAAATACCTAGTAGTGCAGTTTCTGGGTCATAGGGTGGTTCTATTTTTAATTTTGGGGGGAATCTCCATACTCTTTTCCACAGTGGCTGTGCCAGTTTGCATTCCCACCAGCAGTGCAAGAGGGTTCTTCTTTCTCCACATCCTTGCCAACATCAGTTATTTCCTGAATTGTTAAATTTCAGCCATTCTGACAAGTGTGAGGTGGTAGCTCATTGTGGTTTTGATTTGTATTTCCCTGGTAGTGACTGATGCTGCACATCTTTTCACATGTCTAACGAATCATTCTTTATAATAACTTTTCCTGTTTGTGTTGCTGTGTGGTTTCCTTGTGTTAACTGGACACAGACTGATAAATGTTGTATTCACTCAAGTCCACTGGTTTATATCCATGAACTACAGCCATAGTAACACATGTGTGGATGCACCTTCAAAGGTGAGTGAAAAAGAAATCAAGTCTTAGAATATACATACACAGTATGATTTTATTTATAAACAGTTAAAAAACATACACAAAGCCAAATACACACAAGGGATATATACCATGTGTGGTATAAATAACAGAAAAACTCACAGAAGATTAAAGGAAGTGAGTATCTCTGGCAGAAGATGAAGGCACACTGGTCAGTGGCACACGGAGGAGTCAAAGATATTGGTAATGTTCTTTTTCTTAATTTGGTTATTTGTGGGGATAGTTCTACAAATGTTCATTTCTTTATTATTTTTCACTATACACATATTATATATACCCTTTGACATAAATAAAATATTCGCTAATTTAATAAAAGTAATTATCCTTTATGGTACAGAACGACTATGTTTACCAGCAGTGCGAGTGGACCAGAGTTGTTCCACTGGCACACTAAGATAGTGCTCTCTCAGCCCTGGGTGGCCAGTAGGGCCAACACAAGTGTTGAACTAGACTTGATTCTCTGATAATGTCACATGGGTGTTTTAATATAGTAGGTGTTCACCTTAATTTAACATTTAGTTCAAACTCAGAATAACCTTATATTATTATTTTTATCTACTTATTTATTTATTTTGAGAGAGAGAGAGAGAGCAAGTTGGGGAGGGGCAGAGAGAGGAAGAGAGGGAGAGAGGGAATCCCAGGCAGGTTCTGTGCTGTCAGCGCAAAACAAGGCATGGGGCTCGAACTCACAAGCCATGAGATCATGACCTGAGCCGAAGTCAGACGCTTAACCACCTGAGCCACACAGGTGCCCCTAACCTTCTATTATTATAGAATAAAAATTGTCCATCTTTCTTTTTTGACTCGAAGGGAGAAGAAGAAAGAATGCTAAGATGTGTGTGTGTGTGCATGTCTATATACATATACATATACATAGTTTTATGTTTTAGTTTACCAATACACCATAGTGATATACCTACCTATTCAACACGGGTTCTCTGAAGAACCACCTAGGCTACTTCTCTCAGGGTCCCTGCTGCAGCCCGCACTGTAAAGGCTGCAATAGCAATCTGTCTCTTCACTTCTCCCCAGGCCTTGGAAGGATCATCTTTGTTTTCGATGTCAAACAGAGCATCATAAATTCCTGGAAACGACTCCCCTGCATACTTGTTGTGGCTGCTTGGAGCGTAGATGACATGCCTGTTGATAAAGACAGTGTGTTATCTATCAGTTGTCCAAATGATACACACAAGAGAAAAACAGGATCGCTCTATCAACCCTGGACTGCACAATTCTAATTTCATGATATGAATAAGCCACTCATCAGCTGAATTTCCAAGTTTAGTCACTTCCAAAGACCAGTCTATGAAGTGTGTATTAATTAACTATGTTTTGACTTTTTTTGTTTTTTTACGTTTTTATTTGAAGTCCAGTTAGTCAATGGGGCGCCTGGATGGTTCAGTCAGCTAAGCGGCCGACTTTGCTTCAGGTCATGATCTCACAGTACTTGAGTTCCAGCCCCGTGTTGGGCTCTGTGCTGACAGCTCAAAGCCTGGAGCCTGCTTTGGATTCTATGTCTCCCTCTCTCTCTGCTCCTCCCCCACTTGCACTCTCTCTCCCTTTCAGAAATAAATAAGCATTAATTTTTTTTTTAAATTCCAGTTAATATTAGTTTCAGGTGTACAATGTAGTGATTTAACATTCTATACATTACTCAGTGCTCATGATGAAAAGTGTACTCTTAAACCCCTTCACCTATTTCATCCACCCTCAACCCTCCCTTCTGTTAACCATCAATTTGTTCTCTATAGTTAAGAGTCTGGGGGTGCCTGGTTGGCTCAGTTGGTTAAGCATTCTACTCTTGATTTCCGCTCAGGATATCATGAGATTTCCCCACATCCATGAAATCAAGCCCCACATTGGGCTCTGTGCTGACAGCCTCCTTGGTCTTCTCCCTCTCCCTCTCTCTCCCTACTTTGCATGTGCTCGCTCTCTCTCTCAAAAATAAATAAATAAACTTTAAAAGAAAAGAGTCTGTTTCTTGTTTTGCCTCTCTGTCTCTTTTTTTCCCTATTCTCATTCATTTTGTTTCTTAAATTCCACATATGAGTGAAATTATATGGTATTTGTTTTTCTGACTTATTTCGCTTAGGATGATACTCTCTAGCTCCATCCACATCGTTGCAAATGGCAAGCTTTCATTCTTTTTTTAATGTTTATTTATTTTTGAGAGAGAGAGAGAGAGAGAGAGAGAGAGAGAGAGAGAAATGGAGCACAAGTTGGGGAGGGGCAGAAAGAAAGGGAGACACAGAATCTAAAGCAGGCTCCAGGCTTTGAGCTGTCAGCACAGAGCCCAACGCAGGGCTTAAACTCATGGACTGCAAGATCATGACGTGAATCGAAGTCAGACGCTTCGCCAACTAAGTCACCCAGGCACCCCAAGATTTCATTCTTTTTAATGGCTGAGTAGTATTCCATTGTAGATACATAACACTTCTTCATTATCTGTTCATCAGTTGATAGACATTTAGGCTGTTTCCATGGTTTGCCTACTGTAGATAATAACACTATAAACACTGGGATGCACGTACCCCTTTGAACTGGTTTTTTGTTTTGTTTTGTTTTTTTATTCTTTGGGTAAAAACCTAGTGGTGCAATTATTGGATTGTAGGGTAGTTCTATTCTTAACCTTTTGAGGAACTTCCATACTGTTTTCCAGAGTGACTGTACCAGTTTGCACTCCTGTCAAAAGTGTAAGAGGGTTTCCCTTTCCCCACAGCCTCACCAACACCTGCTGTTTCTTGTGCTGATGATTTTAGCCATTCTGACAGGTGGGAGGTGATATCTCATTGTAGTTTTTTTTTTTTTTTTTTTTTTTTTTTTTTTCAACGTTTTTATTTATTTCTGGGACAGAGAGAGACAGAGCATGAACGGGGGAGGGGCAGAGAGAGAGGGAGACACAGAATCGGAAACAGGCTCCAGGCTCTGAGCCATCAGCCCAGAGCCTGACGCGGGGCTCGAACTCACGGACCGCGAGATCGTGACCTGGCTGAAGTCGGACGCTTAACCGACTGCGCCACCCAGGCGCCCCTCTCATTGTAGTTTTGATTTGTATTTCTTTGATGATCAGTGATGTTGAACATCTTTTCTTTCTTTTTCTTCTTTTTAAAAAATGTTTACTTATTTGCTTTTGAGAGAGAAAGAGAGAGGGAATGCACAGGGGAGGGGCAGAGAGAGACAGGGAGACAGAGAATCCCAAGCAGGCTCTGCACTGTTAGCGCAGAGCACAACTCAGGGTTCGAACACACAAACTACAAGATCATGACCTGAGTGGAAATCAAGAGTCAGACGCTTAACCCAACTGAGCCACCCAATTGCCCTGAGCATCTTTTCACGCGTCTGTTGTCCGTCTGTCTTCTTTAGAAAAATGTCTACTCATGTCTTCTGTCTGTTTTAATTGAATTATAAAGTTCTTTATATATCGCGGATATAAAACCTTTATCTAATTATGTTTTTATTTTAAACAGATGACTTAACGTGGTTCATAGCAACAAAAATAACAAGAGCCACAATAGTTGGCACCTACTAGGGATCATGCTTGTTATATAATTTGCCTATAATTTTTCTAACCCTTGAAAATAAACTCTACAAAGTTGATTTTAGCATTTCAAAAAGGAGGAAATTAAGATATGAGAGATTATGGGATCAGTCTCAAGTTACACTGCAAGTAAGTACTGACTTTTCACTATCACACTTTACCCCCTGAAATGTAGCACAGTTGTGATTATCAAAGTCCTGTTTGTGGCATGCCAACTTACTACTGTGTTTTTCTCGTTAAAAAGGAAGACACACTAACATGTTAGAATGCCTACCTTAAAGTATGAAGAACTATTAAAAACAACCTTGAAAGTTTAACATGACCTAGGTAGAAGGTGATGTTTTATTAAAAGACCTATGTCAGGGCACCTGGGTGGCTTAGTAGGGTAAGTGTCTGACTCTTGGTTTTGGCTCAGGTCATGATCTCACAGTTCTGTGAGCTCGAGCTCCACAATGGGCTCTGTGCAGCTGGCAGCACAGAACCTGCTTGGAATTCTCTCTCTCTCTCCCTCTACCCTACTCACACTGCCTCTGTCTGTCTCAAAATAAATTTATAATCTTAAAAAAAAAAGAAAAGAAAAGAAAGATCTATGTCAGTTCATGTAATAGCCCATGAAGGGAAGGATAAGTTCCCAAGCAAAGAGGTAAGGAAAGAGGCACAATCATGCTGCCATTGGGAAATGAGTTACCATGCTTGGATCATGCCCAATTCTGATCCTTTGATAATCTATAAACAGACAGATGGGGCTATTTCTTGTTAGTCAGTGATCTAATTCATTCTGCAACTTTCAGTAGGATCAATCTAATGTTCACCACTGATGTTTATCAGAAATATTTAGGATTGTCAAGAATTAGTAAAAAATGTGAACATTAGGGGAGTAAGTAAATATATATTTATTATATACATTTCACATATATTTATTATGTCTTATATACATACATAAACACAAATATATTTAAAATGAGAGAGGGGCTAAAATTATCTAAACCAAAATATAAGCATAAACTAACTGATGGAATTGGGGATATTTTTATTTCCTACCTGTGACTTTGTGAATCTTCTAAATTTCCTACAATGAACATATATTCTTTTATTATCAGAAGTAAAAAAAAATTAAAAAGAAAGGTATATAGCCATCATATTACATTATATGAAGAAATAATATATTTATCATTTACTATATATATTTTGAAATATTCTATTTGCTTACAAGAAATCAGCTATAGTTTTTCCACAGTGCAAAAAATAAGACAGAATGATATAATCAATAGTCATATTTGTATCCTTACCTATAGAAAGGCCTGTCTGGTAATCCTAAAGGATCAATAAATGCTCGTTCCAAAAACATCAATTGATCATTCATAATTCTCAATAATATTGGGCTAAAAAAGAAAATGAATACAGTTGTCACTTCATGAAAATGTGAACACTACACAGCAAACTAAAAATTCAGAACAAAACAGGGTTTCCTGGGTGGCTCAGTCCATTAAGCATCGAACTCTTGATTTCAGCTCAGGTCACGATCTCACGATTCACGAGATAGAGGCCCACATCAGGTTCTGTGCTGACAACACAGAGCCTGCTTGGGATTCTCTCTCTCCCTCTCTCTGTGCCCCTCCCTGGCTCACACTCTCTGTCTCTCAAAATAAATAAATAAACTTTAAAAAAGTAAATAATAAAATTCAGAACAAAACTAAACACAACTGATATATCTTAAATTCCTATGATATGCAAATTAAGAACAGCATACACAGTTACATTTAAAGAAACCTATAAAATACTATTCTCCTGGGGCTTGTAAAAGCACATGAAGTTATACTTTCCAATTGAAAAGATGACAGTAATTTTTATTTATTTTGAAATAATAATGAATTGACAAACCTAGGCATTTAAAAATAGGCAAGACTTTTTTCATCTTAGGTATTCCAGTAATCTACTCAAAGTAGTCACTTCAATATGGAATGGGATAGCTCATGAAGAGAAGGATAAGTTCCCAGGCAAAGAGGTAAAGAAGGATAATCTATTAATGTTAATGTAAGGTTCGTGGAAAATTATACATATTTTACCAAATGACAGCTAATGTTTTTATTGTTATTAAAGATAAACTATGGGGCGCCTGGGTGGCGCAGTCGGTTAGGCGTCCGACTTCAGCCAGGTCACGATCTCGCGGTCCGTGAGTTCGAGCCCCGCGTCGGGCTTTGGGCTGATGGCTCAGAGCCTGGAGCCTGTTTCCGATTCTGTGTCTCCCTCTCTCTGCCCCTCCCCCGTTCATGCTCTGTCTCTCTCTGTCCCAAAAATAAATAAACGTTGAAAAAAAAAAAATAAAGATAAACTATAATAAACACAAGAAATGGTGTTTACTTTATACTTTTAACAAGATTTGAATGTCTGCTGTTATCAAATATCAGATACTTCTAGAGGCGCCTGGGTGGCTCAGTCAGTTGAGTGACCGACTTCGGCTCAGATTGTGATCTCACGGGTTGTGAGTTCCAGCCCCACTTTGGGCTCTGGGCTGACAGCTCAGAGCCTGGAGCCTGCTTCGGATTATGTGTCTCCCTCTCTCTCTGCCCCTCCCCCACTCATGCTCTGTCTCTGTCTCAGAAATAAATAAACATTAAAAAAAAATTTTTTTTAAATAGCAGATACTTCTCCTGCTATCACAGAATTCATATTCCAAAGAGGGGGGTGTTATTGTAATAAGAATGATTCGATATCATTGAAAATGTATCAAGTTTTGAATAGTTGAACAATGAGTTATTAAATTCAACATATTAATTCTCCTATAATTTAACTATTGAGAACTGTTATTTAATAATTTAATTCTTTATTTTGTTATATTTTAGTTTTAATAATAACTACTGATTCCTATATGCCAATTACTATTCTGAATGGTGATGTAATGTCTTCTTTCTTTTCTTTTCTTTTTAAGTAGGCTCCATGCCCAACATTGAACTCACAACCCTAAGATCAAGAGTCTCCTGCTCTACTGACTGAGCAGCCAGGAACCCCAGTAATGTTTTCTTTAATGTTCAGAGTAATCCTGCAAGTTAGGCAGGAAAGCAGTCCCATTCCATAGCTAAGATAACTAAGACTCAGTAGTTAAATAACATGCCCCCATTCACAACTAGAAAGTTTTAGAATGAAATAGAAGCTCAGCACTATTCTTTCAACTGCACTATGTTGACAAAAGGAAAAATAAAATAACTAAAGGCCCCATAATCTGGTTTGAGCTATTTTTAACATTTATTTATTCAACATCAAGAAGTCAGGTTTTGTGATAGTATCAAGGTAAACTCAGTGTAAACTTTACCTGTGAACACCTCACATAAACTAACAGTGGAGACAACTGCATAAAACACAATTTCAGTAAGATACTAAAGGTTTCCGAACCAAATTCATAAAGCATTACAACAACAACAACAACAACACCACATGCACACACACCTCTCTCTGGATTTCTGATCTTGAGGCTACCACTGAAAAACCATGCTGTTCCTTGTACAAAGCACAGCCTAGTTTGAAATAGCCCTGGGAGGTAAATGCTGAGGACACAGGACTTAAGTAAATGGGATTTCTGCATTCCAGAAGCATGCTGACCTTCCCAGGACAACCAAAGAACGAATAAGTCTTCAGGTTGAATACTATGTGAATATGAAGGTACCAAGGAGACAACTTTCTGAATCCTTTGATGGATCTAGGGATTGATTCAGCAGAAGCAGAATTAAAGAAGCGTCTTTTCCTTGGATTTCAAAGTTTGGGTTGAGAAATTCAACATTCAGTTTCATGTACTTTAGCCAGCATTTAGTACTATCATGGGTAATTCATTTTTACAGATGTTTCAGGATTTGTAAACATAGTGTGGAGACACAAACTATACCTTAACTACTATTTAGAGAGGATAGGACAAATACAGAAATATCCAAAGTGAAAGCCAAATGTCCTAGAAAACCATAATCTATGCCCATAAGGCATTGTGCCAGCAAGAAGAAGTATCTTTTTTTTTTTAAAGATAGAAAATCAACTTCATAGAATATATGGTGTTTGGAATGTCCTTAAAGTTTATTTCTCGTTGTAGATTTTTTTTTTTTTACCCACATAAAAAATTTGGAAAGAATTGGAAAGTATACGGAAAAAAAAACCCTCATGTCCACCCCAGAATAACACAATTATTATACTAATTGGTTTACCTTGAGTTTTTCTCTATATTTGTTCAATAAAAGTATAATCAAACTCTATTTAAATTTTACATATTTTTGCTTGCTTCACATTTTATTATAAATATCTTACATTATATTTCCTTTATAATCATCTATTTTAATGCTTATAAATTATTCAAATTAGTGGACAACTAATTTTTTTTTAGTTAATTTCTCCCCTCTTAGGTAATGACTGTTTGGAATTATTCGGTATTATAATTCCTATCTTTCTCTGAGAAGCCCTTTTTCTCTTTCCAAACTTGAAACTCTTTCCTGAAGAAAAAGTCCAAGAAATGGAAATACTATGCCAAAGTCTAAGAACTCTGTAATCGGCTCCTGAAACATTAGCAGTATGAGTTTGTGCTTTTCCAAAGGTTTTTATTTTTTTATTTATTTTCTTTTTCAAAAAGGTTTTCAAAGCAATTCACAATGCTATCAAAAGAGTGTGAGAATGCTGGCTCCAGTGAACCATCTGGGGCAATGTGTACGACCAAGTTTTAAATCATTAGTTGATATGAAGATAGTACAACACTATTTTCATCTGTAATTTTTAACTAGTGGTGAATTTGAAGGTTTTTTGTCTCTGTTTCTGTACTGGTAGTATCTTCTTTTTAATTGGCTTGCCCATTGCCAACATTTTCAACCTTGTTCTTTTGGATTTTTTTTACCAATTTTCAAAAATATTTTTATGATATTTATTATATTATTCCCTTTCCATATTTGTGGGAAAAGAGGTTTCCCAGTCTTCTATCTTTGCTTTGGATGATTAATTTTCATATTATTAACTATTTCGGTGTCCTCAAACCTCATTGCTTTCTCATTTCCTTGTTGCGTCTAAACTTGAATTTCACTTCCAAGAAATTTCAATTTTTAGTAAAGAATTCTTCTAACCCATCGCTTATGCTTGCATGTGATGTGAAGTTAGATTTTTGAACTCAACTTCTTATCAGCTGCTAAAAGTCTTACACATCACTATTGTTGAATATGTCTTTCCTCTCCATTTATTTTTGATGTATCCTTCATTATAAATACATTCTTAAATGTCACTCATCGATTTTCGGACCGTCTGCTCTTATCTTTCTATGTATTTTTGCATCAGTCCCCAAAGATTTGATATTTGTAACTTCATAATAAATTTAATATACAGAAGATGTTCACTCTCAAAATTCTACTTTAAAAAAATTTCCTTAATACCTTCCCATTATTTTTCTCCCATCTAAAAATTCTGTTCCAATTATCTTTTACTTTTGCGATTTTATACAGAATTGACCCTAAACGCTTACTACTAGAAGAAAAATGGCTTCACAACACTTGTTATGCTGGATAAAGACCTTGTCAGGTGGAAGTGGAAATGAGGAACTCCGAGGTAGTGACATTAAGAAGAGGGAGAAAGAAGGTGTGCTCTGGGAATAGGAGAATTTGGTGGGAGTATGATGTACAAACACTGAAAGAATGAGATAAAACTAGAAAAAGCTGGGGTCACAGAGCGAAGGACCTTCAGGGCGAAGGTGGGAATTTCATAACTATTCAGCTGGTAGTAAAGGGGCACTGGCATTTCCCAGCAGCACAGCCGCCACTCCGAATGTTAGAAATGGGTCTTGGAGATGGGGCACCCGGCTGGCTCAGTCAGTTAAGTGTCCAACTCTTGATCTCCACTCAGGTCATGATCTCACAGTTTGTGAGATCGAGCCCCGCGTCAGGGTCTGTGCTAAAGGTGTGGAGCCTGCTTAGGATTCTCTCTCTCCCCGCCCTCTCTCTGCCCCTCCCCTGTTTGTGCTCTCTCTCTCTCTCAAAATAAATAAAAAAATAAAAACTTAAAAAAAAAAAAAAGGAATGAGTTTTGGAGAGATACGGTAGCCCTGTATAGGATGCATTACAGTGGAGACAGAAATCAGCAAAACGCTTTCCAAAGACATTTCAGCAACAAACATGTCAATTAGTATCTCTTTTTCATTGTATCTATTATATGCATAACTTAAAAATGTACAACATACTTGTTTTTGTCCAAGCCTTGGAGTCTCTCACTGAACTTAGAAGCAATTTCTGTAAAATTCTTCACAGCAGAAAAAAGTGAATCTGAAATAGAAACAGGCCCTAATGGCATTGATGAATGGCTTATGCAAGGGAACAATACAGGAAGTTGTCCTCTTTTGCATTTGACAAGGTATTTATAATTAAATATTACAAGATGAGCATCAATGAAATGGAAAGCACTTTTATAGATGTAAACAACGTATCTGATCCCGTGGAATGGCAATAATTAATAAATGGACTAAAGTAGGTCATTGCGTTTTGGAGATTAAATAAAACCCAGAGATAATGAATTTTGAAAGAGGAAGAAGCTTACCAAATGACACACTGTACATTTTCATTTCTTGAGGATGTTTCATTGAAATATTGTAGATTTTGTCAGCATACTTTCTTAAAACTGTAGCATAATCTCCACAGTCAAATGGGAGCACTGTGGAATCGGCCAGTTCAAACACCATCCCTCCTCGAACCTGGGCCACAGTGAGGTGATACTTAAAAGTTGGATCATAGAACTTCTCCACCAGTTCATAAGTTTCATAGACACTGTGATACAGCGGATAGCTCCTGAATTTGTTTGTTGCCTACAAAAAAAAAAAAAAAAAAAAAAAAAAAAAAAAAAAAAAAAAAAAAAAGAAAGAAAGAAAAGAAAAGGAAAAAAACACAAAAAACCAAAAACACAAAATACTTCTCTTGTAAGATAGCTTATAATAAAATGCAAAGTATCATATTTACTATTAATATTAGTAAAACTGTTTTGGCCAATAACGAATAAATAAAGGAAAGTATTTCAGTGCCTCAATAAGCCACTTACTAATGGGTTAGTATTATAATATTAAAACACACCCCAGGTTTTTAGTAATTAAAAAATATGTGTATACAACATAAATGATAGCATAAAAATTATTTGGAAAGGCCTAACAGTCTTGCCTTCAAGAACACAGGAGATGGGAAAACGTTTTGAAACTTTAAAGACAAGATAATGTTTCATTTCAGTACAAATAATTTAAGAAGGCAGAGAATTGGGAGAGGCAAGGAAATGAGTATTATGTACATATTATATAGGGGAATGTTGCAAATTGTTAATGATTGAAATGCCACGGACAGATCATTCTCTGACAAGCAGTGTGTGAAGTGTGAAGAATGGGCACAGTGAGTTCAGTAATGGATCCAAAGTCTCGTTCAGGAGAGAGAAGGAATGCTCAGACATATCTAAGAAACCAAGAAAATACACAAAAGCCAAGAGGCAAGGACCTTTCCAACTCTGAATTGCTGATTTATGCCTTCTGCCTGTTTTATTTAGCAGCTTATCATTTTAGTTGCTCATTTTTTATTGATATAAAAGAACACTTTATACAGTGGTGTGTTGAAGATACTAAGACTCTAAAATTAACCAGAGTTTGAATCCAGGCTTTAGGATTTATTACCAAATAACTTTTGAGTGTTTATTAACCCAAAGATCCTTAGCCTTTCTTTACTGTAGTTTTCTCACAAGTAAAATGTAGATAATATGAACATCGATACTCATCACAACCCCCATCTAACCTTCCCTAACTTCCTACCCCAAAGGCAGGATTAAAGATTTCCTGTCTGGGGAGAATAACTAGTCCAAGACAAAAGACATATAGATTCTCGAATTGTTGCCTCCCCGTGACGCAACCAGAATAGGCATTCTTGATCACTCTCCTCAGAAGCTTCCTATTTGACAAGTGCCACCCTTGTATACAGGACTTCAATCAGCTTGCCTAAAAGACAGGTTGCCAAAGATGACCAGGTATTTGAAAACAGCCTTGACATGAAAGATACTAGACCAAGCACACAAATTAAAATAAAATCAACTCAGAGTAAGGAGGTACTGTATGGAATGGAGGGAGACAATAATAATGATAATGATAATAATAATAATAATAATAATAATAATAATAATAAAGATATCATTAAAAATGAATGACAGAATTGAGAAAAATATTCCAGATGGTAAAAAAAAGACACAGATAGAAACAAAAGATAAAATATAAATACATTAGAAAAGAATCCCCAGGTATTAAACAACTACTAATAGTTCAAAAAAGAGGAAAGAGGGAAGAAGTGATCAAAGGAAAAAGTATTCCCTCCAAATGTGAGACATAGGTTTCCAGACCAAAGGCCCACTCTGTGCCCAGCCCAGTGAAAGAAAAAATGTATTAACCAACCAAGGCACACACATATACCAGGACAACATGAAAGGTATAAAACCTTCTATCATAGAACCAGCATGAAAATAGACACATAGGTCAATGAATGAAATAGACAGCCCAGAAATAAATCCATGCATATGTGGTCATTTAATCTATGACAAAAGAGGCAAGAATATACAGTGGGGAAAATATAGTCTCTTCAATAAATGGTGCTGAGAAAACTGTATAGCTACATGCAGAAGAATGAAATTGAACCACTTTCTTATCCCACACACAAAAATAAATTCAAAATGCATTAAAGACTTGAATGGAAGACCTGAAACATTAAAACTCTTAGAAGAAAACATGGTCAGTAAGCTCTTTGACATGGTCTTAGCAATATTTTCTTGGACCGGTATCCTCAGGCAAAGGCAGCAAAGGCTAAAAGGTGTACATAGGACTACGTCAAAATAAAAAGTGAAGGAAACAGTCAACAAAAGGAAAAGACAACCTACTGAGAAAGAGAATATATCTGCAAATCATACATTCATTAATGGTTTACTATCCAAAATATATAAAGAACTTTTACAAGTCATTATCAAAAACACAAACAACCAAATTAAAAACTGGGCAAAGGTGGAAAAAAAAAAGGGACAGAGGAATAAACATTGAATGAACATTTTTTTACAAAGTGTACATACAGATGGCCAACAGACACATAAAAAAATGCTCAACATCACTAATCATCAGAGAAATGCGAATTAAAATCACAATGAGCTATCACCTCATACCCGTCAGGCTGGCTATGATCAAAAAGGCAAAATATAGAAAATATTGGTGAGGATGTGGAGAAAAGGAAACCCTTGTGCAATATTGCACAGAAAGCAAACTGGTGCAGCCACTGTGGAAAACAGTATGGAGGTTCCTCAAAAATGTAAAAATAGAACCACCATACAATCCAGCAATTCCACTGCTAGATATTTCTCTTAAGAAAAGAAAAACAGGGGCGCC